GCATGTGAAAAGTCCCTTGTGTACTTACTTAACTGCGTGTGTAATCGTCTAATAACCTAGAGATTGTTTTAGCTTGATTTGTTTTTGAAATAAAAAAATGTTCTTTCCCGAGTGGGGAAGGGGCCGTACTCGGATGTAGTGCAATACCGAGACAACCCGTGGCCAGGGCAAAGCAAGCTTCAATCCCATGGCCGAAGTCCAAAAATCAGTTTAATATATGAGTTAGGCATTGCCTAACATATCAGATATTAAGCTGATAAGAACAGATCTTACAAATTTATTCATGGTGAAAAATATTACATACAGATACTTGGAAGAGGCTAAACTGAATGACTAATTACATAGTGATTTCTATATACAATAATGAAGATATAATAATATCTTAATCTAACGGTAATGTTCAGTTTGGTCAAAATGTTCAAATCATTACTAATATCCATAAATTCGGAATGTTCACTAAGTACTAATACTATAAATATATATATAGTTATATAAATGTAGTGTTCGATATGTATTAAAACTAAACTAAGAACGTTCAACTATGTGCACCTATTGTGCACTAATCTACTGACTAATATGCTTATAGTAAATGTCAGCTGAGTGTTTTATAGCATCACTGCAGCACAGTTTTCTAAAAAGTTTCCTGTATGAGACTGACATTCTTAATTGACTTAGGACGGCTTCATTATTTAGATGCCAGGCACCAAGCGCACCAACAACAAAACCAAAGACACGACACACTTTACCCTTATTCTTGAAGTGATCAACCAGATGACTATATTTGTTGACTTTACGATCTTCGGCTGACTTAAGGGCGTCGTCTCCATTCTCGAAGGGACACACGACATCAATTACTGTAACCTCATTGTTCTCAATAATGACAATGTCGGGTCTACATTCATCATCTAACTCTGGAACTTGTTGATCAACTCGGACTTCACCATATCGGATGGCATTAGTTAGACGACCAAGAATAGCATTGTGTCTTCCTCTAACGTCGACAAGGTTAGTTGGGCAGTGACAAAGGATGTGGGGTAAGGTTTCAGGATCGGTATTGCAAACTCGGCATATAGGGGATTGAAGATCATCCCACCTGTGCTTGTTTTGGTTTGTAGGAACTAAGTTAAGACGAGCACGGTGAACAAATCGCCAATCCTTAAATCGGATGTTGAGGCCAGAGTATATCCACGACGATCCATTTCCAAAATGGTCTTTAACAAGGGCACGAGCCACTTTACCTTGGTCGGGAAGTGATAAAAGTTTATCGGCGGCACGATCTTGGCAGAGGAGGTGGAGTTTGGTACAGGCAAGCTTGGCAAGAACTGGGGAGCCAGAATCAAAGGTAAGGAAAGGAGGGTCGAAATCAGGAACCTGGAACGCTATCTTAAGGTTACGACAGGCTTTACGGGCACGAGTCCACAACGAGTGCGTCCGGTATCGGATTAGGTCAGGGTGGAATGCACCTTTAGTAGAACCAGACAGAAAATCTTGAATTAATGCAGGAGAAGGATCCGCTCTTGCTGCGAAGCGAACAGATTGTTTCAACTCTGCTTTTGCTATTGTCGACACCAAGGGATCATTAGAAGACAGCATCTTAATCGCTTGAACTGTAGTTTGAATATCGACCTCGACCAGGGGATCTTGTAAGGCAAGGCCTCCGACTTTAGTACTAGCGAAGATGATGGACTGAGAAGCTCGATTTGGAAGATTGCATATATTTCGAACGATTTCGATTAACTTCTGGCGATATTTGACTAAGGATGCTTTCTCCGGATCTCCGGCACGAAGGGCAAAGGTTAGGGATGGTTGAACAAAGGTTCTGATTGCATCAAGCTTTTGCCAGGGCGCAAGAAGGGATGAATTAATTCTTTCCAGGTCTTGGCAAAGGTCATCAACTAAATGATCAAGCGAATCGATATCTTTCATCATACCGATTGGAACACCGAGATAACGGTAGTGTTCATGCTGGTTTAACGCTGGCATAATTTTATCTTGCACAGAAAAATCGATAAGTTGGATGTTTCCATTAACACGCTTGGAATAGGTGACACAAAGCGAGGCACACTTATCAGGTCGGAATTCCAGACCGATCAACGAGGCAGTCTCACCAGCAGCATCAAGCAGTTGTTGTAATTTTTTGCTATCTCTGCAAATTAGGACAAGATCATCTGCATACGCAAGGACTGAAATTGGGAGACCATGATGTTTAGCTGGACCGATTGAATTAGCTTTAGGCAGAACCGCCCGGAGGATGATTTCAACACTTAGGTTAAATAAGATAGGTGATAAAGGGCAGCCCTGCTTCACTCCAGATAAAATTGGAATGTTACTAGTATCACCAACAGGTGTGCGGATTACGGTAGTAGCACCGGTGTACACATTAGAGATCAGATCCACCAGGGATTGAGGAACACCAAGATGAGAGAGAGTTAGTTTGATTACATCATGAGGGACACTACCAAAAGCGTTGCGGAGATCCAACCAGGCCAAACAAACATTTTTCTCAAGTCTCTTGGCATCAAGCAAAAGGGATTGCAAGAGAAAGGTATGTTCATAGCAACCTTCAGATGGCCTAGCACTCTTTTGACTATCAGATAATAGCTCGTTTACAACTGCAAAGTTCACCAAACGATTGGCTATGACACTCATGAATAACTTATAGATGCAACTCATTAAAGCTATTGGGCGAAAGTTCGATATTTCACCGCTGTCCCCTTTCTTGTGGATCAATATGGTGTTAGCATTTTTCCATTGTTGGGGAACATCATTAGCATCAAGACATCGGTTGTAGATGGAACATAGGATTTTACAGTTGGGGTCCACAGATTTGAGATGGCGGTATTCCACGCGATCAGCTCCCGGAGCAGAATTAGATAAAACACGGAGTTTTTTCTTGATTTCATCAGGAGATAGGTGATCAGCGAGGTGATTATCAGTGGGGCCCGATGGAACAAAATCGTTAAGTCCACTTTTAACACCTTCAATGTCGCATGATTTAGGACCGAATACACGTGTGAAGAATTCATTAGCATCATCAACTGAACCATCATATGAAGGTTTGGTGTCATTGAGGACTTTCCTGGCAGCACGCTTTTTTGAGATGCGATACAGACTCTGCAGCTTTCTGGCTTGAATAGGATTGTATTTAACAGGCCGTCTGTTGGAATTTACAGGTCTGGCAGAAGGACGGTTCAAGCGGCGAGGGGCGGGTTTTTTCCTCTGAAAGTCAATTTCACTGGTATTGATGACATCCTCAGCGAAATCGTCACAATTATTCGCAAACTGATCCCAACCGCAGTCAGCAGAAAAAACAGCGGACCATTTAGATTGGAATTCAATGATGGGATCCGTGTGATTAGAATTGGAAGAGAGGGGAGGTGGAGGTGGAGTACTTGGTAGGGAGGAGGTAGGAGGCTTTGTGTGATGATTATTCGCATTATCTGAATGAAATGAAGGTGTTGCTGTCGGTGTAAGGAATGACGTATCAGCAAGTGGAGGAGGGATAATGAAGGGGTTCTGGGATGCTGTAGTTGGGGAAGAGAGGAGAGGATAACCGATGCCATCCCCTTCAGTACAACCATTTAAGGCGACCGGTGGATCAGGCAGACGATGCTGGTTGAGGTTTGGAGGGTACGGGCGGCTTGACTGAGGAAACGAGGAATTAGGAGGAGGGAAAGGGTTGGTTAAACAGGGAAAAGTGGACAAGCTAACATTACTATTCACAGCAGTACAATCACTTAAGACGACCACTGCTTCAAGAATTGGTAGATGGGAAGGTATGGAGGTGTTGGGATTACTGGACTGAACAGGAATAAGGCGGGATGCAGGAGGTGAGATACTTGAAGAGGAGGACCCGATATCAGATGGAATTGAAGCGGGTGAGGAGGGATAATCAGGAGTGGATGAGGGTACCGTGTTGGTACGATTGGTTGGGGGTGAGGTAGGGTGAAAAGCGGAAGCTGAGGGATCAAGTGAAGATGGTTGGAAGTAACTATCTAGGAATAAGGGTCGGGGGATGTCGAAGGGATCATTGTCATCCTCAGTGGATAAATCTTCCAGAGTCACAGGTGGTATAGGACTGGTTAGAATCTTTAGTGTAGAGGACTCTTCAACAGTGCAATCATTTAAGACGACCATAGAGGTGTTATCTACATGAGTATTATCCGATGAGGGGATCGTGAAAGGGCCTCTCTCATCAGCAGTACAATCGCTAAGGGCGACCACCGAATCAAGAGGGTTAGGAGACTGAGAGGGTGGGGATTGGGATGAGGAGAGGGTGTTGTTAGCAAGAAAATCCGTTATATCGGAAGTCGACTCGTCATCACGATACATTGCAGTGGACATTATTGGTTCATCATCAACTGGAAGTTTACTCCGACCGCAAATAGTACGAGAAACGTGGACTCCGGCACCTTGACCACTGGAGAACTCATTACCGCATATAGAACAGCGGGCCGACGATAAGATTTTAATACCAGGATGAAGTTTTTTAAAGTGACGGGTAAGGTGTTGAAAATTCAATACAATGGAATCACATAAACAACAATAAAAACTTCTTCTCTCAGGATATTCGCGTACGACAGAAACAGAGACAACATTCATGGACAAAGAGTCATTAACAACATGTTTTTTCGATCGATGAACTCCAAGACCTTGACTCGATTTAGCAACAAAGTTACAATCAGTACATTTAAAACAGGGCATCACGACGAGAGTATAAAAACAGACGGTATATAAACACTGTTAATAATCAAAACAACCAACGCGCTGACAAAAAATAATCCAATACAGCCATAATTGATTATAGAACTAATCTTGAATTCCAAAGCGACATAAATAAGGGGAATCCCCGTAAAATCAGAAGCTGAATAATAATTAGTTAATCAAATAACTACGAAGCGACCGTTGGAAAAAGAATAAACCCGTAAATAAAATTCCTTTAATGATATACGTATGAAACTTGCTGTAAATGATGGTGACCAGGGTATCTAAAAATCAGGTAAGTTTCATAAACATAACCGAAATAATTCCAAAGTTATACGCGAAAGATGGCTTCAGGCAGGATGTCAACACTTGATATATTTAAATAATACGCAAAGTGACGGTTGAAAAATACAAAAGGTCCCGTAGTTTGAATTTCTTTCAGGATATACTAACCAAACTTGCTGTAGGTGTAAAGAACCCAGATAACTATACAACTGGAAAGTTAGGAAGATAAAGCCAAAATAAAACCGAAGTTATACGCAAAAGTATAATTCCAACGGGATGTACACAGATACTATATTGATATGCGCTGAGTAATATGATATTGCACAAAACACAGAAATAGTACTCAAACGTTACAAAAACAGTATAAAATATATATGAATAAGATCCCCACAATGACACGAATCTGAATCCAGCGACGAATAACAGTAACAACGAACGATGAACGCCCAAATTACGTGAAACGACGAATTAAACAGAACAAATTAGACAAGACAGAATTCAAAAAAAAAATCCAACGGTCAAAACGAACAAATCCATATAACTCCAAAACAATACGCCACACGAATACCAAACTTTCACAGGATAATATACACACAAAACGTAGATCACAGCGTAAATCTCACCAGAAACCAGGACGTAACACACACGAAATCAGCAAAAATCCAAATTTCAGAATTTACAGCGTACGAATAACAATTATTCCAAAGTATACAAATAAATCCCAATAAAACTTTACAACAGTACGGTAACGAATTATAAATCCAACAAACAGGTTCTCGAAACTTTTACAAACACTTTAATATGTAAATATGGCCTTATAAACAAAAATTTGGCTAGAAATTTAGAAATTTTGGCGGAGCACTAAGACTACACTT